GAAGAAGAAGAAGAAGAAGAAAAGGGAAGAAGGGTATTGGAGATCAAAGATGGGATCTGGGGGTGGAAGTTTCCTCAAGGTTGTTCTTAAGAACTTTGATGTTCTTGCTGGGTATGAATCTGTGTTCTTCCATTCTCCTTCTACTTTACCAATTTGCTTCAAAATCCAAAATCTAACTAAATTAGCAACTAAAGATCGAAACTTTAGCTTTAATCTGAAGCCATTGCCTTTTTCTTTTGCTTTTTGGGTATGTAATTTCTTGCTGAGTCAACGAACATTGAAGAAAAATGAAAAAATAACTATCAGGTCATCATCTTTGAACTATTTGTGTCATGAAACACAATTTCGTAACTAATTTGGCAATCCCCGATTGTTAACTCTGTGTATCCTCCTTACCCTCATATTTGATTTTGTTGTATTAAGGTTAATTTGATATATGGGGTTGATTTTGCAGGCCTGTGTTTAGTCTTCTTTATCCTCTGTAAGTGCTTTTTAATTTTTGGCCACTGTATTATCTAGATGAATTATCTTGTGCTGAATACTTTGGACTGTACACGTTGGTTTTTGAGATCAGATGCATAATGTTGTGGTCTTCAATTGTTGAACAGTTATGCTTCAGTTAGGGCAATTGAGACCAAGTCTATTGAAGATGACCGGCAATGGCTCACATATTGGGTTCTCTACTCAATGATCACGCTGTTTGAGCTCACTTTCGTGAAACTGATTGAGTGGTGAATATATTTCAAGCCCAACGTATCTTTGCTATTAGATTAAACATTCCTGTTTCTAGTCTCCCTTGCATGTTACTCAGAATTTGAGTCCCCCCCTCCCCCGCCGCCCCTTTTTTTTTTTTTTTGTGGGGCGAGGTACAGATGAATGATGACCTTAGTGAGCATGCTGCATGACATTCATTTGTTAATTTTGTTATGTGGAAATTTAAGTTGATAAGAAATTTCTTTTTCTAGTCCTGTAGTAGAATTGGTTATTGGCCTTATGGAATTAGTTGTTTGGTGACCTAGCTTGTGTTTTCAAAATTGTTTCTTCTCCATAAGAGAGAAAATCAATGAGCATGCTTCATGACATTCATTAGTTAATTTTGTTATGTGGAAAGTTTAATTTGATCAGAAGTTTGTTTTCCGAGTCCTGTAATAGAATTTGTTATTGGCCTTATGGAATTAGTTGTTTGTTGACTCAATTTGTGTTCTCAAAACTGTTTCTTCTCCATAAGAGAGAAAAATTAATTGTTTAACCTAGTGGTTAATGTTGTCTGTTAGAGTTTATATCTGCTTTTTACTTCCTCCTTCCCAAAATAATAGTAATTTTTTATTAGATCATGTAATCTTTTCAAGTGCATAAATATTACACTTTCCCCTTTCATATGATCTTTATGCATAGAATAGATATACAAAAGCCAATAGCTTTTGCTGAAATGCTTTGACTATGTACTACAGGATCCCTATCTGGTCTTATGCAAAGCTGATTTTCACCTGCTGGCTGGTCATCCCATACTTCAGTGGTGCTGCTTATGTTTATGAGCATTATCTTAGGCCGTTCTTTGTCAACCCGCAAACCATTAACATCTGGTATGTCCCAGGGAAGAAGGATTTCTTTAGTAAGCCTGATGACATTTTAACTGCTGCAGAGAAATACATTGAAGAGAATGGAACTGAAGCATTTGAGAAGCTCATAAACAGGGTAAGTCATTTTTTATTCTTTTTTTTTTTTTTTGGTACATCTGATTATAGACTATACAAGAGGGGATAGCCCTCTTCTATTCCCAAATCCCTCCCCATCCGACTCAAGGCTCGAACTTGAGATCTCCAACTTGGAATCTCAATCCCTTAACCGTTGAGCCACTCCATTGGGGGCATTTTTTATTCTTTTTAATAAGATGTAAAAATATGTTTATGTTGAGCCCTTTTGAAAGGAAAGTTGACAATGAAATGTATGATAGTTAGAATTATCATCGAAGCTTCTCCTTGGTCAGAAGTGATAAGATACCACGTAGCATGTTATGTAGCATGATATGCCCATAGAAGTGTGCATAAGGTGTGATATTCTGATTTGTATGGAAGTCCTCCTCGCAGCTTGTGTAATGCACTTTTTCTCCCCATGTTTTGCAGGCTGATAAGTCCAAGAAGAGTAGCGGTCATGCCATGTATGACGAGGACTACTGATACTGACACGTAGCTCTAGTATGTTTATTGCCTGTGGAAGAGAAAGCAACATGTTTGGTTCATGGAACGTTGCTGGATACTTCTGTGACGAATCATATTACCATGTGAATTATCTTAGGTTGCTGTTTTGCTTTTTTCATGCACAAAAAAACTGTCATGATAGACAATATGACGTGTAAGTAAAAACTACTGGTTGTCTTTAAACTTTCCTTGTTTATTCTGTTATTTATGCTTGTGTTGCTAATGCTTTACTTTTGTTTATTTTATTAGATTTCCTCACTGCAAATAATAGTAAAAAAAACATTCCTAAATATTTAGGAAAATGGAAAATCGTAGGAGAGCTAGCTCATCTGGAAGCTGCTAGGCTTTCTAGCTCTCTTTGTTGGGTTGATGCCTTTTAGTCTGTTGTGGATTAGGTTCCTATCGTAGCACAATCATAAATCCCTCAGATGAGCATTGATTACTTGTTGCCTTTTACCTCTGATGGTGAAGAAGTTTGAGGTCTGCATTTTTTTCTCTAGGAAAATGACACGTAAATACATTTTTTTAAATTATTTTTAGATGTTATTAAATGGATAGGTGTATATATATAATATTATAATTCTTAATAAAGTAAAAAAATAATTATTAAATGATTTGTAATGTTATATAAAAGAATTATATAAAAGAATGTAAATGACGTAAGTAATTTAGTGGTAATTTTTTTTAATAGAAATAAAAGATCTTAAGTTTAAGTTTCATGGTATACAACTGATGTGGATTAAGGGATATGAGAAGGTTGTTTTTTATTGTATAATTTAAAATCAAAAATAAAAAAAAAAATTGTGCAAAAAGTTTTTTTTTCTAGCTTCATTTGAAAACACTAAAAAATAGGTTAAATCTTTGATATGGTCTCTAAATTAAAAAAATTTCTGATTCGATCCTTAAATTATTGTGCGGACTCTCAATTTGGTCTTTACTATTTACCAATTTAGTCCAAGTCGGTCTTTTCATACAAAAACCAACTAACGTGTTTTGTTGTTAACGTGACACGTGACTATTAAGTTACTAGTTTTCATTGTTAATTTATTATTTTTCGTCGTTAAATAATGGACAAATCAGCTATTTTTTGTACGAAAGGATTAAGTTGGGCAAATTAGTAAACAATATGGATCAAATTAAAGATTCGTACAATAGTTTAGAGACCTTGGGGGTCTAACTTAAATATAAAAAAGGTTAAAATTCCATTTTAGTCCCTAAACTATTGTACGGACCCCTAATTTAGTCATTAAACTAAAAAAATCTTTGATTTAATCCTTACTATTTGCCCATTTAACCCCGATTTGGTCCTTCCGTTAAAATTCTATCTACGTGTCTAGTTAATTTACTGTAACATGATGACATGATGAAATATTAATACACGTGGAAGACATCATGGTAAAAAAGAGTGACATGGAAAAAAAATAATACAATAAAAAATATTAATATGACAAAAAAAAATTTGTTAATTCCTTCTTTTTTCTTCGAACCCAACACCGAGTTCAAGGGAACCAAGCGCTGGGTTCCTCGAAACCCAAGCGTTGGGTTCCATGGAACCCGCCTCTGGGTTCCGTTGAACCCAATGCTAGGTTCCAACCCAAGCCTGGGTTCCTTCGAACCCGACTCTGGGTTCCATGAAACCCAATGCTTGGGTTTCATGGAACCCAAAGGAAAAAAAATTTTCTTTTTTTTTTTTTTTGGGGGGGGGGGTGTGGTTGTTGTTTGATGATGATGATGAATTGATTGATAAAGATAAAGAATTGATTGATGAAGAAGGCAAGGAAGAGGAAGGAGAAAAGGAGTCTATTGGGTTTCGATTGAACCCAAGCATTGGGTTCCTTTGAACCTAGGCACGTTCTTCGATAAAAAATTTTCTATGTTTTTGTGGGTTTTGTTATTTGATGATGATGAAGAATTGATCCATAGAGAATTGATCCATGAAGGGAAGAGGAAGGCGAAAGGCAAAGAGAAAGGAGAAAGGAAATTTTTAAAATTTTTATTGCCAAATCATTATTTTCTTTCATGCTGTCTTTCCACATGGATTATTTTTTGACATATCATTATACTTCTGTTAGTTAATGGCACACGTAGGTAGAATTTTAACGGAAGAACCAAATCAGGGTTAAAATGATAAACGATAAGGACTAAATGAGGGATTTTTTTAGTTTAAGGACCAAACCAAGGTCCGTACAATAGTTCAGGGACTAACATGGGGTTTTAACTTATAAAAAATATACAATTTTGTCATAAAAATATATAAAATATTAATTAAAATAAATATAAAATATATAAAAGATATTTTATATATTTTTAAGATATTAAAAGGTAAAATAAAAACTTATACCTCATTTTTCGTTTCTCTATTTGCAGCTGTCATCCTTAACGGGCTTGTATGGGCTGGATGAGGCCTAATTCCTAGACTGCTTTGCTTTGTCCAGCCTAATTCAAACCTTACCTGTACGGTCCATTACGGGATAATTTCACCGACCTAAAAAAAAAAAAAAAAGTCGTTTAAATCTCTCATTTCAATCGGCTCCAATGTTCCGAACCCTAACAAGGAAGATGAAGGAGAAGCGGCAATCTCTGCATTCGTAGAACCTTCTCGAACCATCAGGTACTGATAAAACCTAATCCTCGTTAAATTGGAATCATTTAATACTCTTCCTTGAATCTTCATTCATTGTCTTCCCAACAATGGCGGCTGAACCCGATGTAAACGATGGTCTCGCGAAACTCGAGTACCTCTCTCTCGTCTCCAAGGTCTGCAACGAGCTGGAGACACATCTAGGGTTTGCAGACAAGATTCTGGCGGAGTTCATCACCGAAATGGGCCGTCACTGCGAGACGGTTGATGAATTTGATGCTAAGCTGAAGGAGAATGGTGCCGAGATGCCTGATTACTTTGTTAGAACCTTGCTTACCATTATCCATGCGATTCTTCCGCCCAATCCTAAGGGAGATAAGGACTCGAAGAAGGAGCAGGGGGCAGGTGATGGAAAGAAAGCTAAGTTTAAAGCGCTTGCAATTGCGGATGATAGGGAGAGAGCGAAGCAACTTGAGGAGGAAATCGAGATGGAGTCCCGAGGTTGGCGGCGGGAAGAAGAAGATAGGCGTGGAGAGGGGGAGAGAGATAGAGACAGAGGCAGACAGCGTCGAGAAGATGATAGGCACGGAGACAGGCATAGGGACAGAGACAGGCGGGATAGAGATAGGGATCGGGACAGGGATAGGGATAGGAACAGAGATAGGGATAGAGACAGGTACGGGGATAGGTATCATGAGGAGGAAGTTGATGATGATCGGAGGGATCATAGGAGTAGGGGCAGGAACAGAGACAGGGGTGATAGGGAAGATGGTGAAGAGGGAGAAAGGAGGACCAACAGGCGGTACCTCGGTGACAGCGAACTTGAATTGTATAAGGTCTACAAGGGAAGGATTTCAAAAGTGATGGACTCGGGTTGTTTTGTGCAGTTGAACGATTTTAGGGGCAAGGAAGGTCTGGTTCATGTTTCACAGATTGCCAGTAGGAGGATTGCTAGTGCAAAAGATGTGGTGAAGCGGGATCAGGAGGTTTATGTCAAGGTCATTTCTGTTTCTGGTCAGAAGTTGAGTCTATCAATGAGGGATGTTGATCAGGATACTGGTAAGGACTTGCTACCTTTGAAAAAGAGTTCAGATGATGATACTTTTAGGACCAATCCTTCAGGAGGAAAGGATGGACCTGTAACTAGGACTGGTCTTTCGGGGATTCGTATTGTGGAAGAGGAGGACGCCATTCCATCGCGTAGGCCATTGAAGAGGATGAGTTCACCTGAGAGATGGGAGGCAAAACAGTTGATTGCATCTGGTGTTTTGAGGGTGGATGAGTATCCTACTTATGATGAGGAAGGGGATGGAGTACTTTATCAAGAAGAGGGTGCTGAGGAGGAGCTTGAGATTGAGATGAATGAAGATGAACCAGCTTTTCTGCAAGGACAGACAAGGTACTCCGTGGATATGTCACCAGTGAAGATATTCAAAAATCCAGAAGGTTCCTTGAGTCGTGCAGCTGCTCTGCAGTCTGCCCTTATCAAGGAACGGAGAGAAGTACGAGAACAGCAGCAACGAACTATGTTGGATTCAATTCCAAAGGATCTTAATCGTCCTTGGGAAGACCCAATGCCAGAGACAGGTGAGAGGCATCTGGCACAAGAGCTTAGAGGTGTTGGATTGTCTGCTTATGATATGCCTGAATGGAAGAAGGATGCTTTTGGAAAAGCTCTAACTTTTGGGCAGAGGTCAAAGCTCTCAATCCAGGAGCAGAGGCAGAGCCTGCCAATTTACAAATTGAAAAAGGAACTGATTCAGGCCGTACACGACAATCAAGTTCTGGTTGTCATTGGTGAGACTGGCTCAGGTAAAACAACCCAGGTAACACAGTATCTAGCAGAGGCAGGCTACACTACAAGGGGCAAGATTGGATGTACTCAACCAAGGAGAGTTGCTGCAATGTCTGTGGCCAAGAGGGTAGCTGAGGAGTTTGGTTGTCGGTTAGGAGAGGAAGTTGGGTATGCCATTCGTTTTGAAAATTGTACTGGACCAGACACTGTGATCAAGTATATGACTGATGGTATGCTTCTTATGGAGATTCTTACTGATGAGAACCTTTCTCAGTACTCAGTGGTTATGCTTGATGAAGCACATGAGCGGACAATCCACACCGATGTTCTATTTGGGCTATTGAAACAGCTTGTGAAACGGAGACCTGATCTTCGTTTGATTGTTACATCTGCCACATTGGATGCAGAGAAGTTTTCAGGCTACTTCTTCAACTGTAATATTTTCACAATCCCGGGGAGAACCTTTCCTGTGGAGATACTTTACACTAAACAGCCGGAAAGTGACTATTTGGATGCTGCTTTGATAACAGTCCTCCAGATACACTTGACTGAACCTGAAGGTGACGTTCTTCTCTTCTTGACTGGTCAGGAGGAAATTGATTTTGCATGCCAATCTCTTTATGAGCGTATGAAGGGGTTAGGTAAAAATGTACCTGAGTTGATTATTTTACCAGTTTATAGTGCCCTCCCCAGTGAGATGCAGTCTAGGATTTTTGATCCTGCTCCTCCAGGGAAGAGGAAGGTGGTGGTGGCAACCAATATTGCCGAGGCTTCTTTGACAATTGACGGAATATTCTATGTGGTTGATCCTGGGTTTGCTAAGCAAAATGTTTATAATCCAAAGCAAGGGCTTGATTCTTTGGTTATAACTCCAATTTCACAAGCATCAGCCAAGCAACGTGCTGGGCGTGCAGGACGTACAGGGCCTGGAAAGTGTTACCGCCTGTACACTGAAAGTGCATATCGAAATGAGATGTCACCTACCACCATTCCAGAAATTCAAAGAATCAATCTTGGATTAACAACACTTACTATGAAGGCTATGGGAATCAATGATCTCCTTTCTTTTGATTTTATGGATCCACCCTCACCCCAAGCACTCATTTCTGCCATGGAACAGCTGTACAGTCTAGGAGCTCTTGATGAGGAGGGGCTTCTAACCAAATTGGGTAGGAAAATGGCAGAATTTCCTCTTGACCCTCCACTGTCAAAGATGTTACTGGCTAGTGTAGACCTTGGTTGTAGTGATGAGATTTTGACAATCATAGCCATGATCCAAACTGGAAACATCTTCTACAGGCCTAGGGAAAAACAAGCTCAAGCTGATCAGAAGAGAGCCAAGTTTTTCCAGCCGGAGGGAGACCACTTGACTCTGCTGGCTGTTTATGAAGCCTGGAAAGCTAAGAACTTTTCAGGTCCTTGGTGTTTTGAAAATTTTGTTCAGTCTCGATCCTTGAGGAGGGCTCAAGATGTCAGAAAACAACTTCTCAGCATCATGGACAAGTATGTTTTTCTAGTTCTTTTATTTTCACTTTTATCTTATTTTATTGTCATCTATGGCCTTAACGTTTTGCTTCAAGAGCATTTTTTTTATGCTTTTGGTCTGTGGATTGGATACCATAATTTTATAATTGTCCCTTGACAGAATAGGGAAATCTAGATGCATCTTTAGTAGTGTCCTACATTAGATTGAAGCAGCTGGAATTGTGTCATCTTTGCTTTCTATCTAGCCATTAAACCTTTCTTTTAACTGATGGGAAGATTATACTATATCGCAGCAATTTGGGGTTCTAACAGGGAAATTGATGCTACCTTTCAGGTACAAATTGGATGTGGTAAGTGCAGGAAAGAATTTTACAAAGATAAGGAAGGCTATTACTGCAGGATTCTTTTTCCATGCTGCAAGGAAGGACCCACAAGAAGGATATAGGACTCTGGTTGAGAACCAGCCTGTTTACATTCACCCAAGTAGTGCGCTTTTTCAGAGACAACCAGACTGGGTGATCTACCATGAGCTGGTGATGACAACAAAGGAATACATGCGTGAAGTAACAGTGATTGACCCAAAGTGGCTTGTTGAACTGGCTCCAAGATTCTTCAAAGTGGCAGATCCCACGAAAATGAGCAAGCGCAAACGTCAAGAACGTATTGAACCTCTCTATGATAGATATCATGAACCTAATTCTTGGCGTCTGAGTAAGCGACGAGCTTGATTTGTCAGTATTGGTATTTAGTTGGTTGCAAATCTCTGTGTCTCCCACAGTTTTGGAATTGTAAGTATTCACTGAATTATATTTTATTGATTATTAAAATTCTAGTGAACAGTAACTCTAACCCTTTTAGTTTTGGAGATCATCAGGAGGATGATAAAGAATTAAAAATGCATTGCAGATCATAGATGGGATCTGGAGACAGAAATTTCCTCTAGGTTACTCTTAATAACTTTGATGCTCTTGCTAGGTGTTTATCTTTCAGATCCATTCTTCAACTTTTTGCTTCAAAATAATTAAGCAGTTAAGGATAAAAAATTTAGCTTTAATGGATGCTATCGGCCTTTTCTTTTCATTTGGGGTATGAAATCTCCTGCTTCAGCAAACACAAGAAAAAACTGCTGACTGATAAATGAGCATGGAATAACCTAATCTTTAGGCTTGTTCACAACTCTCTAGCAATTATCTTTGAACTATTTTTAATTTTTCCTAAGATTACTAGCAAACCACTATGGACCTAACTTAGCAAGCCTTGCTAGATGTAAAAAAAAAAAAAAAGAGTAAATTTTAATTTTTTCCTAATCTAATTTATGGGTTTGATTTTGTTACCTATGGGTGAAATTTCTGTTAATCTTTTGCTTTTGAAGGGGTTAAATTTGTATTTTTGTTCATCTGTTAGCTCGGTTACTTATTATCAAAATTAAATGGGGATTATGGACACTGCAATGGTGTGTAGCTGGATTGGGGCTTTTGGCTAGTGTTTTTTTTTGTTGGCATTCTGAAGTTTGTGTTCTCTTTTTTGCCCTGTATTCTTGACATCTGAGCATTTAAAACCTGGTCCTGTGTCTTTCATTGGCTTCTCTTTTTGGATACACTGTTAATTCTTACCCATTAGAAATGTGAATTTAAATAAATCTTAATGCGGTATGTTCTGAGTTTCCTGGAAATGATGCTTGGATATTGAATTAGTATTTGTCCCTACTTTTGGACCTTTTCATGCAGTTTTTAACCATTGTTTTCTCTTATGCTTTAGTTGATTATAACAGTCAGTATGAGGGCAGGTTCAACTGATTGATGTTCCATGATTGGTGACATAATTTCCTGTTGTCTTTGCATGTTTATAGGCTCATTAGCGCTTATTGTATGATTTGGTTGTTGGTGGCAAGTTAATAGCTCTTAAACCGAGTTTAATTGGAGTACAGCTTCAGCGCATGAACAACCTGTGAGCAGGGAGGGACCAACATAACCATAAACATACATGCAGTTGGATCCATCCACCAAAAAGAAACAAAGCTTGAATGAAAACACTTCTTAGAGTGAGTGCGCTTTAGAACAACATTATCTCCATTTAAATATTGGTTATCTCTAGATTGAAATTTACCTTTGTCATTCATCCAGGAGAACCGTGCTAAGTTTTGAGTGCCTATAATATTCTAGCCTTTTGTGTTTGTTAGTAATCTTCGTGTTACTTGAAAAGTAGTGTGCCTGTTGCATCCTGTAACGTGTCAAGTTGATCATCTAGTCAAGAATATTTGGTTGAAACTATTCCACAGCCATGGTTAACTAAGGTCCAAGCCTTACCCCTACAGGACTCATCAATAAGAGATGGATGATGTTCCTTGATTCATGTTTGGATGATACTAAAAATTTTCAATGAAACAACTTTTTGATCTTCATATCGGCTTCTGTGAGGATTGCTGAATGCCTGAGTTTCTGCCTTTTAGTGGTCATTCCATTTTCCCTAAAAAGCGGGCAAGGTACCTTTGTTTACGATAGATCCAAGTATGAAAGTCTTTCTTTTCTTAAAACGTTATTCGGAAACACTTTACTTTGAAATACGGTAATTATCTGAATTAGAATAATTGCAATGTATCCTACATCTAAGTAGTTCTTTTACTTTTCTTAATACCACCATGGCACCATCCACACCTACGTAAGGATCGGGTGTCGAATGCTTTATGCAATGGTCAAGCAAGTGTGTTGGCGAAGGGATGAAGGCTAATTGTTAGCCCTCCATCCCTAATCTCATTTGTAAAATTGTCCTCAGCTCCTGAAACCGATTGATTGAGTCCTAAACAAAATTGAACAAAGCTAATTGCAAGTCTACGGTGCTCATTTTCGATTCGGAAAATTTCAAAACCTGAGACACGGCTAAACAACACTTAGAATCGAATATAAAATAACATTGAATATAAAATAACATTGAATAATTTGAGTTAATGACTTAACTTCTCAATTTAAGTGGAGTAAAAGATTTTAGATTAGATTTGAATCATAGGCATAAAGATGGACGGGTAAAATGATCATAGAGAGTTGTATAATAAAAAATAAAAAATGAAATCATTGAATAATTTGAGAGTTATTTGGGATAATAAGTTTATAATTATTATATGATATTAAATACGTATGATATGCTGCCCCTGTAACACTTATTACATTGGATAGGATGCATATATACCAAGATTAAGACCTTAATTTTAATATTTGTAAACTTCTCCTTCCCCATATTTCCATATGTTCAAAAAACAAAAAATATGTATAATATGCTATTAAATAAATAAATATATAATATTATAATTAATTTTTAAATATAAATAAATTATATAATAATATATAATATTATAAATTTATTGATATGATACTATAATTATAATATTTTAGTTTAAGTTTAGGGTCTTAAAATCGACACCCGAGCAAGTTTTGGGCTTACTCTACAATTTAGCTACTAAAAAACGACGCGGACCCTTATGCGGTTTTGCCTGACCCGAGTTTCCATCTTTATCCCGTTGTACCACCAGAGCTCACGCCGACAACCGAACTCCACGACGACTGGATTTCTTCGGACGGTAAGCTTCTCCGGAGAATGTTCTTCCATCGTGCTTCCTTCGATTCTACATGATTCTGACCCTCATCTCCTCTGTTGCAGCGACTTTCTCGACTGTGGACTCTGGTTAAATCAAATTGCTTTGGATCATCTCTAGATTGACCGAGCTTTCCGCGCCATATTGGCTATTTTGAACGTTTTCCCAGGAAAGGGTGCTTATTTCTTCCACTTTCCACTTACTTTCCTTGTTTCTTTAATATTGGGTAGAAATGCCCTGATAATGTTTGATGAAATGCCAAAACCAAGAATGTTTGATAGCTCTTGGTCCTTTTTCTTATGATTGGAAGATTTGTTATTTTGGGTGATTATTATGGTAATCTCTGGCCTTTCAAGGGTTAAAGTTCCTTTTTTTTTTTTTTTTCCCTTCTGTTTAAAAATTAAACCTTCTAGGTTCTCATGATTGAACAATTTGTTAGGATGAATAAATGAATTTCTGTTTGATCTGAAAATGAGTATTTTGTGATTGAACATATGGCATCCCTTACTCATTTGAGTGGTTGATTCATCTGTTTTGTCAGTCTATTTTCAGATTTTTAAGAAGCCTGATTCTAGTTTTGAATTTTCCATGTTCTTGGTTTGATTTCTGTGATTTTTGATACTCCTGGTTAATGATCAAAACTAAATGGGGATTATTCACCATGCATTGGTTTTTTGCTTGTTTGCCGCTTTTATCTAGAGTTATTTTCCATTTTTTTAGCATTCTGAAGTTTGTGTGCTCTGTTTTACCTCTAAAAACATGATCCTCTGTCTCTTATTGGATTGTCATGTACATAGGGTTGAAATTGTTAATTCTTATCCCTTAGAAATATGAATTTAAGTCAATCTTATTGTGGTAGGTTATGAGCTTCCTGGAAATAATACTTGGATATTGATTTATAATTTGCACTGTCTTTCGGACTTTTTCCACATTTTACTCACCCAAAAGGAGAATATGTAAACTATCCATTTTATTTGACTGGTCTAAGCATTGGATCACCAACTCAACCATTGATCTGTTGAGGTAGGTCCGTTAATTACCAAAAAAATGTATTGAGGTAATGAGGGTGTACATGGATCAATTTAAAGCCTGTTTGGCAAAGCTACTTGCTTGTAGCTCTTTTGCTTTTACTTTTCATAAAATTACCATTTTCTTAATTTGCTTATTAGCACTTTAAATTTAAAAAGGCAACTTGTTATCTAACAAGTTTTATGAAAAATCAAAGCAAAAACAGCTAATAAGCTGAACTTACAAGTTTAGTTTTGCTGATTTTTCAAACTGACCTGATATAAATGGTTTGGAGGAAATACTAACTAATTCAATCAATTTTTAAGGGTTAAATTGGATTGGTTTCGTTAGAATCAGTTTCATTGGTGGGCTTTGAGTTGTTGCAGGCCTAACTTCAGCTGTTTCTTTTACATTGAGAAGATGAGTGAGACAAGGCCGGTGCCTAGGAGAGAGAGTCCATGGGGAATGCCAGAGGGAGAGCATCGACAGCCAAAGGCACATCGTTGCAATGATCGAGCTGAGGATGTTATCCAGGTAATCTTCTTTTTCTTTTTCCCCACAGAATCAATATGGTTCTTAATTTGAATCTCTAAAACCTCTCCATCCTTTTTTTCTTTTGTTTTGTGTATTTTCTTGCTGAAAAATGTGTTATTGGTCTCTGCTATTCATGCTTGGTGCAGGCTTGTTTTGAGGGAAACCCATTTAAGACAGTTCCAGGACCTTTTAAGCTCTTTTGGAAGTGCATGCGTTCCAAACCTGGGTATGTTTATAGTTTCTAATATTTCTAATTTAACAAATAATACCATAAAGACTCATGACTTCAACTTTTTGTCTCATGGGTTTGAGGAATTTATTTCATTGGAGAAGCAATTCACAAGGCAGAATGATGGTTCCTATTTCCTTATTTAATTTCCTTGCTTTAGTCTCCCTACTTTCAGCTTCTCACATACTGGCTTCTGGCTCAGTTAAACCTTTTCTTAAAGGGCCAACCTATATCTCATCAGTTTAAGATTAAGTATTCAAGTTTTGAGTTTTGGTGGGACACAACACCTTAGTCATTATTCAGTACAGCTTTAGCACATGATCAATCTGTTTTTGTGCAGGGAGGAACCAACAGAGCCATACACCTACTTGCAGTTGGATCCACCGAAGAGAGAGACAAAGCTTGAATGAAAACTCTCCTAAGAGTGCATTCTAGAACAACAGCATCTCCATTTGAATATTGGCAATCTCAAGACTTATCTTTTGCATTCATCTAGAAGAACTGTGTAAGTTTTGAGTGCCTTTAATATTCTAGCCTCGTGTTTAGTAGTAATATCTTCTCGTTTCTTAAAAAGTGTGCCTGTTGAATCCTGAAATGTGTTGAGTTGATCATCAAGTCATGATTGGTAGAAATTTTCAACAACCATGGTTAACTAAGGTCCAAGTCCTGGATGAATCATCAATAAGAGATGGATGATGTTGATTCGTGTTTGAATGGTTCTAAAAATTGTCAATGAAACAACTTTTTGATTTTCATACTTGCTTCTGTGACTGTTGCTGAATGCCTCAGTTTCAGCTTTTTGGTTGGTCACTTCATTTTTTATGTATGGGAGTTTGGTGAGAGAATGTCATCTGATGGTGTATCAGTTAATCTCTCATCAAATGAAAATCATTTATAATTGTAGAATGTTAGATCACTTGGAAAATGAAATGCATGGAGATGTTTGCGTATCAAATCAAAGATCTTTAAAAAAGATCATCATGCAAATGTGCTATCAAGTTATGGGTCCTTACATTTCCACTTTACAGAACAAAATCAAAGAAAATTGAGAGAGGGAGAGAGAGAGAGAGAGAGAGAGATGTTTAATGCCACTTTAGTCCATTAAGTGGTTGGTTTGGTCTAATTTTGTCATCAAAACTTAGTTTGGTCCTCAAATGGTAATGGAAAGGTTGACGGGCTAGGTTAACTCCAAAATTTTTTGTTTTTTAAATACAAATATTATGCGGAAATATTAAAATTATATTTTAGCTTACTTAAGGTTTGAGCGTATTGAAATAATTTTAATTATTGGAAAGAAAACATTTTAAAATTAATAAAAAATAACAAGTAAATTTAGAAAGATCTTTTTACTTCAACAAATTTTGGATCTGTCAATTACTCCAATAACTGTTTTTTTTTTCAACTTAAATTTATCTAAACTTAATTTCTCATATAAAAAAATAGACATTTTTTTCTTACTTAACCTTATTATTGTCACTTAATTTTAAATCATTCACTTTATTACCAAAACTTTCTCTTAATGTTTATTTCTTTTTCTAGAATATTATAAGTAGAAACATGAAATTGTTTTAAGATTCATCATCCCAAAAAGAGTGAAAAAACGATGGTTATCTTCTTACTTCAATTTCTTAGATATCTCTTTCTTTTTGGTATTAATTTCTCGGTATCTAATAACTTCATTAGTTACGATTAATTTAGAATTAAATTACGTCAGACCTTATATTTATGGGAAGCTCTTTTAGTACCTGTTTTTCTATTTATAAGACTTGAACTCGAAATCTTATTTAAGGTGATTCAAAATTAAAATTTTGTTTAAGAAAAATTGACACTTCTTTCGTTTAGATCAACATGTTGGTCTTCGATATCTCTTTCTCATTCTCCTTTCTCCTTTCTCCTTTCTCCTTCCTCTCCCTTATCCATTGCAGGTTTAAAACAAATAAAAAACAGAAAACAAAAAAACTGAATTGGAATTAGAATGTTTTTGTTAAGTTAAATGGATAGTCGGTTTTTTTGGTTTTAAACTGAACTCACTGAATTAAAATTTTGGTTCCTTTTTTTTTTTTTTAATCCACATAAACCAAAAAAATGCTTCTAATTTAATTGAATTAGTACCATATTTTGGTTCAATTGAAAAATCCAAGCAAAATTGAACTTTGTCAATAAACAATTAAAATTTAATTTAAAATTTTAATAAAATTTGAAAATTTCATGAAAATGAAATCAAACTGTTCGCACTATAAATAACACCTAATGGTTGGTAAATCTATTCTGGAATTGAAAAATTACAGTGCGTTAGATGATTTTTGAGAGGGCAGGTCTGAAATATTGAATTAACTCCATTGTTAGAAAAAAAAGAAAAAAAAAACCTCCATTGTTTTCTTTTACTTTGATGCTGGAGTGATTCCCCATGATTTTGGGCCTTCTGTAACCGTCTACTGGTTTTTCCATGTTTGATAGTAGTTTATCCTTGTTTGGCGGCTAAGACTTTGATTTCCAATCCAATCCAACCCTAATGAAACCTAACGTGATTTTCTCCCATAAATCCTCTTAACTTCTTAATTCAAATAAAACTC